GGTGGGTAAAGAAACAGGTCGAAGTGCAGTGACTGAGTGGAACGAAGCAGGTACGATTGGACGATTCAGGGCAGAGGAACACAGTCCTCTACGGAAGCACGAAGATGCAAATACACTGTCCAAAGTAGAAGATCGGAGTGTGTTACTCAGGGAAGAATCAGATCATACTGCGGTGCTGAAGGAAAATCCTACGTTGACAGTCGAAGGAATATATTCAAAGGCGCCATCGGAATTGGACGATGTAATTTTACCGACGGAGATGGAAGAAACAGATAGACTGTTGCGGGAAACAGATGAGAGGGCGCCTTCGAAGGAGACAGGGTCGGACGTGTTTTTACAGGAATCATTATTGAATGAATTAGTCGCCAGTACGCCGCTGTTTGCAAGAGAAGCACTACGTAATTCGCTCGTAAAGGAAAGAGAAAGTGGTTCAGCTGAATGGTTGCCCGTAGAAGATTCGCATGGGATATTGGAGGATAAGGAGAGGGGTCCAAGTGTAACGGTCGAGTGGAACGAAGCAGATTCGAATGCACGATTCAAGGCAGAAGAACACATTCCTCGGCTGAAGCAGGAAGATGTAAGTACACTGTCCAAAGTAAACGATAGTAGTGTGTTACTAACGGAAGAATTAGATCACACTGCGGTGCTGAGGGAAAATTCTACGTTGACAGTCGAAGGAATATATTCAAAGCCGCCACCGGAATTGGACGATGTAATTCTACCGACGGAGATGGAAGAAACAGAAAAGAATGCGCCGTTGAATGAAACAGGCTCGTATGTGGTTTTGGAAGAATACAATCGAAATGGGCTGCTGCTGGAGAGTAACGTAGATGTCTTATGGAAGGAAAAAGAAATTGGTTGTGCGGCAACGTCGGAAGGCGAAGAAATGCGGATCACAAATCAAGTTAGAAGGTGAGCAGCGTTTAGGATAGATCGTGTGTTTTGGAGTTTTCCTGGTCGCTGAACATTAGGGATCACGCCAGAGTATGATATATATGAAATCGGTTTAGTTTAGTTGAAAAATATGAAGGGATTTCTGTTTGTTGAATTGTTAGTAGAATATTCTGTTCAGCCTATCTATTTTCTCTCTCTTTCTTTCTTTTGTTTTCTTCTGTCGTTCTGGATGTTCTGTCATTCGCTTGCGCATATGGATCATCGAGGAAGTACGAAAGGACAATTTTGTCACGAGTTGACGATGGACGAGGCGGTGACACGGCGATCCCCGCAGAACAGATTTCTTGAAACTTGAGGAGGTACGGGACGATACCGATACAGGAAGTTGCGAAGCGATCCTCGCGATGGAGATAAAGATACTCCCTCGCTCATCTCTGATACGCATGGAGTATTTCGAGACTCTCGATGCTCGTTGGGGCTTTTTCGAAATTTCTAGAAATTCTTTGAAACTGTTTTGTTTAAAATTTTGACCATATTGGGAATGTTGTGCGGAGTTGAGTCAAGAAACGTTTTAGTGCAGAATCGGATTTTATGTAGAAGACTCTCGTGACACACCTCCCTCAGACTCTTTGCATCATGTCCAAAGCCTTCCACTAAGTCTCGAAAAGGGCCAACCAACTTTCTGGGACTTTGTGAACTTCTGTACTTTCGTAAAATTGCAATTTTTAAAATTATAGCTGCTGTTCCAACGAACAAGGATAGCAAAAGATTTTTAAATTAGTATGTTTTTATTTGCTGGTCGCCAACATGCCTGGTGGAACTAACCTACGCTTGTCATATATGAGGGAGGGCGGCTACCAGCAGGGTTACCACGTGTGAGGGAGGTCGTGTGTGTCGGTTTCGATCTGAGTTGTGAAGGAAAGATGTTTTTTCTGTTGGGTATCAAACTGAAAAACTTCCGAGGAAAAAAACTGATCATTCCCAAAAGCGGGTATCGCCCATCACCCGTGTTTGTGACCAACATGGGCCAAATCCATCGTGCCTCCTGGTGACCAATACCGAGAAAAGTTCTAATTTAAAAATCATATTCCTATGTTTGTTGGTACATTCTTTGTCCCTTTCGGGAGTCAAACTGTTCACGCCTTTGAAAACATGAAGTTTAAACGAACAAATACTTGGAAAACTCACAGGTTTTTTTCTTAAATGAAGTAAGTTCGTTAGATCTTGTGTCTTTGCGCGGAACCACTACCAAGGTTTCGTTTTTTCCAGCAAGCATTCTAGGTCTATAATCTATCTAGACCTATGTCTAGACTTTAAAATCGAAAAATGTAAATGATTTTGGTAAATTTTCTTTGCTTCCTTCATATAGAAAGAAAGAAAAATTTTTTCGAAGACATTTTTCGAAATTCGAATCACCGTCTAAACTTTTTTATACTTTTTTCTTATAAGCCAGAATGGCAGAACAGAAAAGTTTTATGAGTTTCACGACAAAACAGGCACAAAGCAGGACAGAACATAGCAGAGGAAAGGAGAGAAAAGCACCCTGGAACCATCTTAGATACCTGCTACACAGAAGCGGTAACACTTGCTGACAATCCTTGTCCTGCGTCATTCTTCCATTTTTCTTTTACAAGTAAACTAATTCACGAAAATGAACCGCTTCTCCAAAGTGAGTTAGTTTATCAAAGAGGACTTATTGTCCAAAGTGAATCGGATGACCAAGTTAAACCAGATGGTCAAAGCGAACGCGTCCTTCAAAGCCATTCTGCTTGGGAAAACGACCCGGAGAACAAAAGTCCCGTAACGCTACAAAGTAATGACCAAGTTCACCAAAGCGGGCACGTCGTCGAAAGTGAACCAGTGGTTCAAGTTAAACATCACGACCAAAGTGTTCCAACTATGCAAACTGATGACCACTTCAAACAAAGTACTGGTCTCGTTGTGCAAAGCGAATCAAACGGCAAAAGTCTGCTGACACTGCAAAGTGATGATCAATTTTACGAACGCGCACATGTTGTCCAAAGCCAACCACTTTTGCAGGTTAAACTAGGCGACCAAAGCGGACTTAATATCCGAAGCCGATCGGTTGACGGAGAAGAACTGACTGACCAAAGTGCACGAAGTTCGAAAAATGACGACCAACTTTACCAAAGCGAACTCTTTACGCAAAGTCATCCAGATCACCAAGTCAAACCACTTGAACAAAATGGAATAATCGTCCAACGCGAATCACTCGGAGTAACAGAAATAATTGACCAACGTGCAATACTGCCGCAAAGGGATGGTCAACTCAATCAAACCGGGAATAACATCAATAATGAATCGGTTCTGGAAAATGGACCATATGACCACAGTGTAGCAACTCTGAAAAATGATGAACAACATAACCAGGGAGGACCCGTCATCCAAAGCGAACCGATTGATCAAATCAAGCCAGATGGTGAAAGCGAATTTAATTTTCAAAGTGAATCTGTTCTCGAAAAACAAGCGATTGAGCACATCGACGGACCATCTCCTAAAAATGGCCTTAACGTCCGGAGTGAATCGCTTCTCGAAAAAGAATCGATTGAGCAAATTGCACCCACGCGGCAAAGTCATGATGACCAGTTGGAACAAAGTGAACTCATCGCCCAAAGTGAAGTAATTGATCAAACAATACCTATCGTACAGACTGGACTCGCCTTGCAAAATAAATCAGTTCCTCAAATAAATCTAGCTGATCTGAACGAAATAATGACTCAAACTACTAGTACTACTGCTACTCCTAATCTCGAAAAGCAGAAGCTTTTTTACCATGGGGATCCGCAAAGAGAACATCATTTTTGGCTTCACCAAAACACCATACGTCCCTCAGTCACGGGAAAATGGCACACTCACGATCTCAAACAATTTGGCTGTGATAACTATGCTTACGTGGGTCAACAAACGACAACAACGACACTATGTGCAGTGAACACCTCAAAATCTGATGAAGAAAGTGATTCAGATTATGACGATGTTACTTATGAAGAAGCAAAGATCTACGTTTGCCGTGGTCATTCAAAGTACGTAAAACTCCATTTCGTAAGACTTGTGAATCTCATATAACCATTCGTAGAAAAAGTAGGGCCCCAGATAGAAGTTTAAGTCGAGCGACCTTGAACATAACTATCCGTCCGACGCACTGTAATGATGCTAGAAAAAGGTTTTATCCGATATAGTAGACACGTTAGTTTTTGGCTTTAGTACGAAAAAACTGCGTTTATGGCCGTTTTTTTCAAATTATCCCATATTCAGCCTAGGCGCTAGAAAACTGACTTCTTTAAAAAGAACCGCCATGAAGTCAATTTATTCACATTCAAGTTGAAAACCAATATCCCCACGATAATTAGCACACTTGATTGCGCATGTACACCTCTTTTTCGAAGAGGAAAAAGCGACTTTTACGGAAAGTTAGGTTAGAAAAAAAGACCTTGTACTATCTGACGATGACGAAAAAATTTTAGGATTAGTCCGTCCGCTACGTGATTATGACTCATTGGTTGTTGTCCATTGGCAAAGAGCACAGTGAAGAGATGATAATAGACAGTTATTGGCGACTATATGCTATCAAATCGGATCCGCGTGTGTATCCTGCAAACACTGAAACTTTGGCGTTTATTGTTGTGCCCATTTCAGTTAGGAAAACATTTATCATAGAGTGAAAAGTAAGGTAGAACCTTTTCGAGGAAAAGAACATTCTACCTACTTATATGTCATAGAAGCCGGAATTTGATGTTCATGGGAAAATGGGCATTAAATTAGAGAAGGAAGCACGTTTTCAAACTGTAGCGGACGGATCAGATTGTTTAAATAGCTTTCTAAAACTGCTCACTCGGCAAACCTAGCGTAAAGAAAAACTTTTTTTGATGTCAACATTTCGAACTTCCGTACGCCAAAACTAGTACGTAAAAGCTTTCGGATAGCTCTACTTTCACACGGCTTTGTCCTCCTCGATGGCTCTTTTAAATAGTGGAATCGCCGGTCTCTATCACTTTTTGTTCAGAAGTTGTCATTAAATGAATTCGCTCCTGTCTTTCTCAAAATTCTTTAGGCAGCAATTTTGTTGGTTTTTGCGTTAAACAACTTCTCTAAAAAAACACTTGAAAAACTCTCTTACAACATATTTGTTTGACCTAGATTTACTTTTTTAAGCACTCGCGTATTTAAAGCTGACGGATTCGGAAACAGTTTGTCTGTTTTTCGAAGTGAGACAAGGACAACGATCAACATCGCTTCATTATATTTCTAATCAAGTGTTTGTTATCCAAGTTAGAACTTTGGATGATTAAACGGCTGCAAGTACAGATCTTTAACGTTACAAGTTCTGATTGCTACCTTTGACAGTCATTTTAAAACGTTCCGTCGCACTATTTCTTTGTTTTATTAAAAGTGCCCCCAGTTACCGACAAGATGAACCAGACATCACAACAGCTGATCAGAGGGGTGCAGTCGAAGAGCAGCAGAAGCGCTTCTATCATGGTGATCCAAGGAGAGAACATCATTTTTGGCTTTATCCAAAAACTCATCCATTACAGAATACAAAATGGAATACATATAGTTTGGAAATTTTTGGATGCAATAACTATAGCAATGTCAAAAAGAGTGGTGTCTACGAAACATTTGCTTGCTGTGGCCATTCATAGTATGTGTTTTCAACAGTTTTTCTACTTCAGGGCCGATTCTGAGCGCTTCGATATGCCTCGTTAAACGGTGAAATGTCTTTTCGTTCGAACTATGTCCATTCCATTCTACATGCACAAAACTATAACTACAAACAAATTTTATCGAGCTTGGACTTACACTGACGGAATTATAGAATTTTTAAGAAAACAGGATATCAAAAACCTGGAAAATGCGCATTTTGCCCGTAACTGTCCGATCATTTCGATCAAGCTCTAGTTCGAAAGAGCACGTCAAACTACTTTGGAAACTCTATGTGATTTTGCAATAATCCGTTTTTTTACCATCAAAAAACTTAAAATCTCGAAAATTAAGCCATGGAAATTAAAAGTAAATTTTAGATAGCTTTTTGGTAGATGCCTGTTCAATTTGAATTTCATCTCAGCGGATTAGCTTTTCCTTTTTGGATAAAGACTGGCAAAAGCGTTTCGAGTAAACACCGTAAAATTCTGTAAAGAAGATAATAATGGCTTGTGACTTCCAAAAATGAAATCTTTTTCAGTAATCTGCGTAGAAACTAGGTAAAAATCTCATTTCCTGACTCAATTTTCAAAGACGCTGAATCTAAACACTGCTTTCCTTTTGAGTTTTGACTGAGTTTCAGCAATTAAAAGTGAAAATGTTGTATCATCATATTCTTTACCAAATTTTACGTTAGTTTCCTACATTTTTCTCAAACACTTTCTCCAGTTTGTTCAAAATTAAATATTTTACTGATGAGAAAGACTTTGAATTACACAGGCACCTACTCAAAAGTTATTTTTAGAATTTCCTTAAAAACTCCATGTCTCAATTTCAGAAATTTTTTATTTTTTGATCGTAAAAGTTTCGCCCTTTTCGAACAGCAGATAAAGTTTTCGATGCAGTGTAAGGTGCTTCATCAAACGGTAGATTGCGCGACAAGATCAGATAAAATTTATGGAGATATAGACAAAATTCGCTTTCACAGGTTTCAGATACCCAATCTTTTGAAACCTTTCTAACTGGGTCAAGTTAAGTCTAAACTCAATAATATTCTTTCTATAACCTCCGTTTTACACAGAATCGAATAAACATAGGTTGAACGGAATTAAAATTTACCATGTAATAGCTCTCTGAAGTGATGGTGAAACTTCTCATCTCCCGTGTCTTTTAAAGTTACACAAAAGTTAATTTTGAGAGATGTTTTCTTGCCCGTGTCTAGTAATGTTACAAAGAGTCGTGGTCTTGGACATGTATCCGAGGAGGAAGATGGAAAATGTTACCATGGTGGTGTAGATCACAATCTGTTTCTGTTGCAAAGAAAATCAAGTTTGAACAATATTTTGTATGACACATATGATATTGAAAGGACATGTGACAACTGTGAATTTAAAAGTCAGAGTGATGGTGGTGATCGTGTGGTATATGAGTGCATGGGACATTGAAAGAAACCGTTGACGTCGGAAAGAGGCCCTTTCAAACCGACAAAGTTACACTTTCTTCTGATTTCATAATTCGAAGATATGGAGTTATGGATATTCGTTGTCCATTTTTTTGTACTTTTTTTCTGCTAAAGAAGCGCCATCAGCCAGCGCCATCTCTGTATGTAAAGTTGATTGAAGAAGCTTGTCAGTGTGATCTTTCGAAGAAAAGGTAAAAATTTGCATAGTTTAAAAGCAGCTGCACAATAATCTCACTTTCTCACGAATGCAAGTTCAAAAGATATTATGAAGAAACTCAAGAAAATTTTGAAAAATCTGATAAAAAAATAGTGGAAATTTTCAGAAAAAAATTTATAATTTTTTCCCTGTTACTAAGCAGGATGGTTTTCGTTTCTATACTTCCGCCTTACTAAGGCTATTGACAGTGTGTTCATAGTATGAACACACTGTCAATAGCGAGCGATCTTTTTCAAGTTTTGGACAAAATTATTCGAACAATCTAGTTAAATTTATACAATTATGTTTTGCTTGTCACAGCCAGTAACTTAATGCTTTAATGTACTGAGTCGATCTTCCGTAAACTGAGAACTTTCGGATTAGCGCCCAACATTTTGTCATTATAAAAGCGTCTTCCGGAATGACTCAACGCTCTGGAGGAATAAAGACTACTGGAACAGCTATCCACATCAAAACTGTTCCTTTCGAAGAACAAAAGTTGTAGAAAACTTGAGTGTCGGTTATGAAGCATCGGTCAGATGAAAAGGTAGGATACGGAAACTTTTACCGGTAGTTGGCTAGAGTCGGCTAGTGAGTAAAAGAAAAACTTTGAATATTAGGTAATTGATATTATCTTTGCACAAGAGTTTTTTCACCTTTCTTTCGTTATTTTTGCCTTCTGTACCATACATTGTCTTAATCCTTTCAAGAATTTAAATGTGTTTAGCACACAGACAGAGAGATGAGCAAGAAAACTCTATTGGAAGTGAAAGTGTAAAAACAAGATTTCATGAGATTTTTTTTCGAAAAAAATAATAAAAATGTTGCTCTGCGCCATTTATTCTTCATTCCGTTTCATTTTGCTTATGGTTTTTTATTTCGTCATTTTTTTACTACACTGTATAAATCATAGTGATAGGCACAGAGAACGACAACTTCTCTACATTATCCTGTTCTATGCAATGCACTATACATTTTTTTAATCCTTTCAGGAAAAAAGTGTGTACAGTATACAGAGAGTGAGAGACAGAGAAAGAGAGTAGAGCAGAAGAATAAAAAAATTCAAATCTCAATTGAAACACCCTCACCCTCGAGCTACCGGGTAGATGGAGAAATACGCGTGCAGTGTTGTTGTAAATTAGACCACAGGAAGAAGTTTGGTTAGGAAGGACTCTTTCAGCTCCACACCAACGATTTGTGGGCAGACGAAGTTCTATTACTGCTGCAATTATTCTTCCTACAGTCATGACATCTGAGTTGCCGCAAGGCAACGTTAAATTCTTGTATATTCATAAAAATATATAAAATGCTTTTTACTTTTTCTTCTTCTTTCAATTTCGTTTTACGTGAAATTTTTAATTTAAAATTTTAACACCTAAAAAGAAAACCATGGCTATGAGTAAGAAGAGTATAGCAACAACTTCTCAATCTTCGCAACGTTTCGACGTGTGGGGTGAAAACTTAGAAACTTATCAATTGTTGTGGCTAGACGGAAAGTATTTTTTAAACACGTCTTTTTTGATCCTCTTCCATTTTCTTGATGCTTGATAAAGTAGAAGGAAGTATGGCTAGAACCACACATTTTTTTGTCGGGTCTGTCTTTCATGGACGTCTCATAAGAATGCCAGTGAAACACAGGACAATCTCGTTAGACAATGTAAACTCCGACGTGTAATTAATCAGTTGAAACTGTATGACAGTGTGCAAGACTGAGAAACATATAAATAGTGTCGCGCCTACTGCTCAGAAAGTGGTGCTAATTGTTTCAGGATGCTTGGGTCGGGAATTAGTCCCTCAGATTAATGATGTGAGGCAACTGAGTGCCATCTACATCTATTGTATGGATATTAAGCGGAATAAAGAATGGAGCGACAGTTACAAGAACGTAAGTTATTAATTCTGTTGAATGTTATATCGGGAAAGAGCGTTTATACACGTAAAATTTTCGCTGTAACACGTACGTCCTTGAGCTACTAATAACTTCGGCAGTGAGAACGGACTAACCGGAGCAGTAGGTGCATGGCGTTTTTTTAGCTCTTCTCGAAATTACTGCAGTTCTTTTACACCGTTGAGCAACTAATAGCTGATTTTTAAAGAAAGTTGGCCACCTTTCTAATCAAAATAACCTTTTTTTGGTTAAAAGGTCAAAGGCGCCTTTAACAACGCAGAAGAAATGATTAATAGAGGAACTTGTCTATATTTTTTATTTTTTAGAAAGTTAAATACTTTTTTCTTATACAGGAAACATTTAAAAACGTTTCTCGTGCCCGATAAACTTTTAGAAAATGTATACCTTAATATTTTGACTTG